CTTGCATGATAGATGTCAAGGAAGAAAGTTATGTGAATTCAGAACCATAGTTAGTGAGTGGTTTGACTACGACCCTTGTCCGGACACATTCAAACACATAATGATGAGATTTCAGTGTCGCAATGGTAAGTTATTATAGAAACCATTTTGTTTTCACACTTATAGCACTAATACAAAACCGTACATTGCTCAAGCTTTAATCAAAAATAATACAAAGTATCGAACATTATTCAAGCGCTAGTTAATTAATATGTGTTAGATTTATGTAATTAGTATCACTAAGTATAATTACTAAGTAATAATCTGAAGTAGTGTTATTAGGAGTATATGAATGGAGATCTCTATTGTATACCTCTATGTGTGTAACCCCTGGTATCATTATTGTCTTGTGTGAATGTATCGGTTTACCATAACTAATATATACGTTCAACAGACGTGAAAAAATGTCCGGACGGTTCCTCGCACTTCGCTGAGAATTGCTACCAAGTTGTGACTAATGCTACAAAGACGTGGTCTGAGGCTCGATATCACTGCCAGAACACAGGTGATGATGATATGCTAAGTCATAAAGTCACGATTAACCCACGATATAAACTACTATATACGTCACTTTAATAAATCGAATGGTACAAAAGAAATAATTGCCGCTTAAAAGACTTAATTATCATATATTGGCGCTTACAAGACGACACATACCCTTGATCTAGGGTACTATTTACGCTTGGCCTATGTTCGCAATATTAGTCGCACCTCTTTATCATAGAGAGAGTATGTAACACTTGCTGTACACCAATTACCGTAGCCAAACACATGTTTGATGATATTAAACCTATTTGACACAAAGTTTGCGTTTAAAAAGTAACAATTCCATATAGTTAAATGAACACCACAACACAATGGTTTGTAACCCTTTGTTAATATTTATTGAGTAATAGAGACCTACCAGTACGGCAAATCAAAGTGTTATGCTAAGTGGCACAGCCGTTCTTAAAGGTTGAAGGTTTACAGCTGTTATATATAAGACGACGCCCTAGTTTGAAGCAATAATTGGAGCTTCAACGTTCGACTTGGGGGGGGGGGGCGCAATATACGTCATATACTTGTGCACATTTTTGTTTCGTGCCAATGTCGTATGCCTTCTAGTAGTTTCGTGCAGGATACATATCTGCGTTCTAACACGAGTAGTAGCTACGTTGTTCAGTAGGCAGCTCAGTATACGCGTATATAGACGTAGCTGTAACACTACTCCGCTCACATACAACAGGCGGCGATCTGGTAAGCATCAATAGTGACAACGAAGAAGCGTTCCTGTTGGAACTGGCGAAGTCCGTACTCGGCGACTACCCGCTAGACATGTACTTCTGGACTGCACTGAAGAGAACGAAAAAGGGGATAACTAACTACAAGTGGGTGGATGGTGCTGCATCGAACTACACGTACGTTCTGAATCGGCTATACAGACAATCAGCATCTCAGACAAACCTATAATAGTTGATATTCTGACATAGAAATAGTCTGAGTAGTAGTTTGAACTGCAATGAGACCACTGCCCTAAGCATTTGGTTTAGCCGTAAGGGTCATCCTATTGTGTAGCAAGTGTGTGGCAGCATATATAAACCTCCCCTCGGAGTGGGATGCATGCTTTTCTGCACAGGACGCGATATGAAAGATTGTCGACCAGCTGTAGTCATATCAATAACTTATTTGCAGAAACTGGAAACCCTACTGGATAGATTATAACGGGGATGAGGCGTGTATGTTTTTGCTCGCTTTTGAGAAACTCGGACAATATAGATTCTACTGGGATTCTGGAGACTGTGCCCTAAAACATCACTTCATCTGTCGTTTTCCGCCGCATGGTACGTTGCATCAATCTTCAGATTCTCATAAAGCATAGTTCTTATTTTGAATGCAAGCTAATGTCTTCAGCGCAAGCTTTATAGTCTATTCGCGCGCTGTACGATATACGTGCATTCAACTGTTACCTTAATATTGTAATTTATATTTATTGCAGTGGATTTGTGTATGATTATAAGATAAACACGCCTCACAATTACAGTTTGTTCGCAATATAACGCGTAATACAATGCGCTTATAGCACTGACACATCGTTTGAAAGTATGTATGTACTTTATTGTGAACTGTATTCGTTCCCCGGTTTCCTGTACGTTCACTTGCGCTTAGCTTCTTTATATATATATATATATAAGCACATTCTGGTAATTTACGAATAGATTGGATTCTAACAAGACCAATTAGTCATGCAAATCGCTGCCTCTCTCTGTGCCTCTCTCTCTCTCTCTCTCTCTCTCTCTCTCTCTCTCTCTCTCTCTCTCTCTGTCGCTCCCTCCCTGTCGCTCACTCTCTCCCCCCCCTCTCTCTCTCTCTCTCTGTCTGTCCCCCTGTCGCTAACTCCCTCCCCCTCTCTCTCCCTCCCTAACTCACAAATCTGCTCCTCGGATACGTTTCAGCCATCAGTCAGCCACAGCTTACAATCCCGCCTAAACCAGAAAGCACCACACCGGACCCTACCCAGATGTGTGACGAAGTAGAGGTTAGAGGCATCGTGTGGCCTGCTACACCGTTCGGGGAGGTGGCCGTCCAACCGTGCCCAGATGGCGTCGTTGGTAAGGGTTCAAATACGAGGTGACATGCCTACAATAACTATATACCTCGTATCTATTATAAATATATATTGTTTCAAAAAATATTGTTGGAAAATATTTTCGATTCGTAATTTGTCAAAACAATGCTTGCACGAGACGTGATTGTTAATACTGTAAACATCTATATATTTGTAGCTATCGTATAATATATTTTCGGCGCGTTTAAAAAAGAAAGTTCCGACCAATTTTGAGTGGTGCGTAATTTTATCTGTGCTTATCAGGTTATGCAACATGGACATGCGACAACGTAACGGAGATGTTTACTCCAGAGGACCCTGATCTTAGTCTTTGCAAGCACGCATGGGTAGACGTGATAGATTCCATGGTACGTTGCCAAGTTTGTACACATTTTGCGTACATGAAAGATGGATGCGTGAGCCAACCATGCCCACATTAATTAATGCAATAATTTAAAAAACAATAATTAAATACGCTTTGCAGCTGAATGCGGAATTGTTTCTCCTGCGCGGTAGTCTTATGATACGTGGCTAAATGTTGGCTGTTCACATGTGTCGTATCAGATTGAGGATGGCGATGATGCAGCAACTATAACTGGACTACTCGCGGAAAGTACCGCCTCAGGTAGTAGCCTGTACGGTGGGGACGTGCTCGCTTGCGTGGACTACCTGGGACAACTGAGTGCGATACAGAGCCAACAGGTGGCGCCACTGCCGGAAGAAGAACAGAAGCCTGCTATGCTGATATTCTCGGAGGTAGGTCGCAAGAATTAAAAAAACGTTAACACTTCTGTTTATTTTTATTGCTCTGCGAGCGCTTGATGTATGTACACAAAGACATATGTTGAACCGTTCAGCGCTTGAATTGCCGATAAGAATTGCTGATAAGAATTTTCTGATCTGTTTATAGGTGCTCTGCAATGTCTCTAGCAATCTATTGTTTGAGGAGCAGAACCCGGCATGGACCGACATTCCCCAGGTGATCTATGTTGCTCGTCAATCCATCGTTCTTAGTAGTGCAATAACCTTCTTTATGCAATAATATCGCGTGAAAGCATGGTGGTATTAACAGTATAATGTATACAAAGCAATCCGTCTGAGTAGCAGCACTACGTGTGCAGCCAAACACGCGAATCTAGTGAGTAATAGCAAAACCTAAAATTCGATGGTCTAAACGACAATCGTTGTATTTTTTTCTGACCTCAGGTTCAGAGAAACGAAGCCGTTATGTTGATGCTGGGAAATATGGACAACAACTCTTTCCTTCTGGGACAATACATGCAAAACGAGAAGGAGCAAATATATGTTCAGAATCTAGGTGGGCGCGTTTAAGTCGCACGACCGACAAAATAAATCAGCGTAAAAATGAATCACGAAAAAAAGTTTCAAGAATGAAATCAGCGGAGATGTTAGTGATAGCTTTCCGCAGCTAACGTCCATGTAACCCGACCAGGCTGTGTGACTAACGTCAATACACCATACACCATACTAGGGTATTCTAACCCTAGCAATACCGTTTCTTGGAGCTAACGTCCATGATGATTTGATGGGGATTATTTTATTATGGTTATTATATTATTATTTATTATTTAATGATTATTATATTAGATGAGGCACGGCTTTTTTGCAGCCTCTTCAACCATCGTCGTTTCTGTCTGCTTGCAGTTATGCAGGTACAGGTGCATACTGATCCTACAGAAGAGTTCAGCTTCTCTGTTGATAACAGCGAAGGTGTATTCCAAGGATCAACGTCTTCCGAGTTTACTATTCCGCTCACCGTGTTGGACGAAATGAGAAATGGTTTGGAGGTCCAGGCGGCGTTTTTCATTTATTCAAATTTACACGAACTGCTACCAGTTGAAAACATGTGAGTAGTTGATTTCTCACGTATTACCATATTTTATATTGCCGTTGCATGAGGTTTGTGTTATATATTTTAAATTCGTTGTGTCAGCAAAGCGAAAACGACGAAACAAGCTATACTTGGACATTTTGAATACGAATTTCAATCTTTCTCTCTCTCTCTCTCTCTCTCTCTCTCTCTCTCTCTC